TGACTTGTATTCTTATAAATTTGACTTAATTCTCTATATATTTTAGAAATGAGGCCCTTATCAGAGAGACTGGTTGTAAAAATTCTTTCCCAATTTTCTACTTTCCTTATAATCTTGGTTTCATTGGCTTTGTTTGTACAAAAACTTTTTAATTTAATGTAATCAAAGTTATCTATTTTGCTTTTCGTAATGTTCTCTATCTCCCATTTGGTCATGAATTCTACTGTTCTCCATAAATCTGATTAGTAAACTATTCCTTGCTCTCCCAATTTGCTTCCAGTATCAGCCTTTATATCTAAATCATGAATCCTGGGAAAACTTATTGCAGGGAGGAGGGGTGGGTTGGGAGTTGAACTAAATCTTGAAGCAAGTTATGAAAGCCTGAAGATATCTATGTCAATGACACTCAGATATATGCATACACATTTGTATATATATATAATGCATGTATTTATATATACATATATGCATATATAGTATGTATATATACAATGTGTGTATACACATACATACAATATATTATACACACATATATATATACACATATCCCCAGTCTATTTCTTATCTTGGGGAGATCTTGAACTCAAAATAGCTATAGCCTTTGTAAGCTTTGAGGTATCTTTATCTGAACACATACTCGCACTAGTGCATTGAGTTCCCAGAGCTTGGCTACATCTGCCCCTCATTCTTTTAGGAGCATCCCTGAGGGGTTAGGAATGAATCTGTAATGCCCACTGCCTCAAGCCCCACGCTAGTATACTTCTTCTTTCAGGTGTTTCCCATTAAATGCAGGTGTCCCTCAAGGGTCTGTGCTCTTCTCTTCTCTTCTTCCTCTATTTTATTTTGCCTAGTTATTTCAACAATTCCCATGAATTCAATTACTATTCCTATGAAGATGATTCCCAGATCTATTTATCCAGCCCTAGTCTCTCTTCTGATCTTGGTAACATCTCTCCAACTATCACTTAGACATCTTAAACTCAAAATGTCCAAAACAGAACTCATTATCTTCCCCTCCAAACCTTCCTCTAACCAACTTTCCTATTACTATTGAGGTCACCATCATTTTTCTAGTCATCCAGTTTCACAACCTTATTGTTATCCTCAACTTCTCACTTGCACTCACCTTACATATGCAAACCATCGCCAAGTCTTCTCATTTTTACCTTCACATCATCTCTGGTTCACAATATCCCCTTCTTTCCATTCACATAGCTTCCACCTTGTTATAGGCCCTTATCACCATTTCCCTGGACTACTGAAGCCTTCTGGTTGTCCCCCTCCTTAAACTATCTCCCTGATTCAGTTTCTCTTCCACTCAGCTACCAAGGTAATTATTCTAAATCCTAGATATGGCAAATCCCTGCTTCACTGGATGCCTATCCCCTCTAGAATCCCAGTTCTCCATTTTTTTTTTGAAGTCCTTGATGATCTAGTCCTTTCTTGCCTTCCTTCTAGAAAGTCTTCATATACTTTTTTTTTATTTTTCTTCCTTCACACACTCTGTGATCCAGTGACTCTGACCTTTTCTAAAGTGCTTATGAGCATGTTACTCCCTTTCTCACAGCATCTTTGCCAAGAAAAACCTAAATAGGGTTACAAAGAGTTGGACATGACTGAAAATGGCTAAACAAGAGCAAGAGCGCAAGATTAGAACCCAGATTTTCTGACTTCAGAGTCAGCATTCTTTCCACTGCATCATTTAAAATAAAAGTCATATTTAAAAGATAAAAATGAACAATGAAAATAAAGAACAATTTAATTTGAGAACTGAATCACAGAACAGGTAGATATACCAAATCTAGAAAACTGTCAAGTATGAAAAGAGAAATGCAACACAAATTTGATCTTCTTACCTTTAAGACTATTAATAACTACCATCTTAATTCTAATTCCTATAATTATTATATAAGATATAATTCCTATCATTATAACATATTGTTATACTGTATAGGAGTTATTTTAGTGGCTTCCCCTCTTTACTCACTCAATAGGAACATCAAAACTTGAGTTTATCCTTATTCAAAACTGAAGCCCTAATTTGTAGCATGTACTATAACAAAAGAAGGAAGCGGAGTCTCTTTTCTACTGCAACCCACTAGCCTCTCATGATGTTGTTGGTTATAAAGATTGAATGAAGGGGAAAACCACCATTTTGACAAAAGTAGTATTAATCACCTTGTATGAAATGATAAATGTGCTGCTTGTAAGATACAAATGCATGCATACATAAACACCCCACATGAAAGCACAGAGACCCCTAAAGGATTCTTGGCCATGTCTTTCAGCTATTCGATGATGGTTTGATTGAGTTCTTTTGACCTTTCCTTTGGAGACCAGATTCTACAGTTCTCAGTATTTCTGTTTCAGGAAAGGTCTGGTTCAAATTCAGTTTTCCATGGGCTTAGATACCTATGGATAGAGCACCAAGTCATTCTCAGCTATGACCATTACAGCTGTAATCACAATCTTCCCTGTAGCCTCAGTGAAGGCTCACCACCAATTCTCTTCTGTGTTTAAGGGATTCCTGAAAGCAGATTTCTAGAACTGCTACATGTAGAACTGAAATCTCTTCCTTTCTTATCTTCTAAGTGATCTGGTGAGTTCCCAGATTTTCTATACTGAATCCTCATTTTTTAGTGATTTCTTTAACTTTGATGTGGTATTTCATCTTATCAGTTGTTTGGAACAGTAATTTAAATGGCATGAAAAGTATATTCAAACAGGCCAAACAGACCACTACCCTTACTCTCCCTAGGTAGAAAAAAAGCATGTTCCAAACCAAGAGATCATCCAGCTTATGGATGATGAACACTGCTGGGGAAATGCCCAATTTATAATCCTTCCTAGGAACACTCTATTGTAGAAGTAGAAGAACCTCTGGAGCCTTTCATATCCAGAAGAACCTGGTAGGCTGCATCTGCTTAAACAGGAATCAAATACCTCCAAGAGAATCAGTTTTCAGAGGCAAATAATTAGACTCATCCCATCTCCATGAAATACAGCAAGACACCAGGGTTTTATGAAGTGATTCATACCTTTGGATCCATATCCCACTTGTACAAAGGAGCAGGGAGAGTTGTCTTCTCTTATCTTTTATTTTGGGGCCAAGCTTGGTCTCAACATTCAGTTTAAATTGCTTTGTGGCTATTGTTCTTTCAATTACATTGCTATAATCATTGGGTACATTGTTTTCCTGGTTCTTCCTATTTTACTTTTCAACAGTTTATGTAAGTTATCCCATGCTTCTCTATTCATCAAGTTCATCATTTCTATTATATTCACACATAGACGATGAGGTTGAAGCACCAATTGCTCAGAACTAGCTTGGGAGGCTTCAAAGGAAAGTGTGGGAGAGAAGAGGTATTGATCTGCTTACCCAACTGAAGGCATACATATTCCTTGTGCTGACCGCATCGTTGTATGTGTATGAAACTTTGATGGTATACCAGCACCATGCCAAGAAACTGAATCACTTTCATTTGAATTGTCTTAGGAAGATTCTAAAATCACCTGGCAAGATAGGGTACTAGACACTGAAGTTCTTTCTTGAGCTAAACTGCCAAACATTCAAAGTCTACTGAAGAGAACCCAACTCCAATGGGCTAGCCATGTTGTTCAAATGCCAAACATACATTTACCTAAAAGATTATTTTTTGGGGAACTCACACAAGGCAAGTGCTCACGTAGAGATCAGAAGAAGCAATATGAGGACACTCTCGAGGTCTCTCTGAGGAACTTTGGAATTGATTGTGAAACATGGGAGACACTGGCACAGGACTGCCTAACATAGCATGCCCACATCAAAGAAGGCACTTGTGCTCTACCAGCAAAGCAGAATTGCAGTAGCTCAAAAGAAATGAGAGACGCACAAATTTAGAGGCATCTCCACTCCAAATGTTCACGTGGACTATTTGTGCCTGACTTGTGGTAGTCTTCTGAGCTTATACTGGTCTGATCAGCCATAGTCAGACACATTTTACCTTGACTGCCTGACATAGTGATGTCATTTTGATTGATCTTCTTTGAGCAGGAAAAAAACAACAACCATGTACCACAAATTGTTGAGCTACTCCCTAATGGATAGGCAACTACCTGGTTTCCAGTTTGCAACTTTTAATTTAATAATAATAATAGTAAACATTTATCCAAGTGCTTTAAGGTTTGCAAAGTGTTGTATACATATATTATCTTGTTTGATCTTTGCAACACTTCTAGGAGTAAGGTAGGTGCTATGATCATCTCCCAACATGTGGTATTTAGAAAAGTAAAAAAAAATACAACAATATTTTTGTTTGATTAGACATCCAAAATCAGAATTCATGAACTTCCTGGCCCTGAAAAAAATCCATTGGATAAAGGTTTTATTTGGTTTTACCATGAGGCTTCTTCTGAAATTAATCCCTTTCCCTTCTAACCCAGAAAAACAAACCCCAAAATGCCTGGGCCAGTGATTCCATTTGACAACTGAAATTCTACAACTTTCTCACCTAAGTAGTTCCTGGCCTCTCTTCTTTGAAAAGAGAGAGAGAGAGAGAGAGAGATGTTTTTACTGTACCACCGTCTGAAATTAGCCTTGCGACGCTTTGGGATCTTAATCAATCTCTCTCTCTCTCTCTCTCTCTCTCTCTCTCTCTCTCTCTCTCTCT